TTTAATTCCTTCTTCTTTCTCTCATCCTTTATATCCACTTCATCTCCAATTCTTGTCAGGTGTGCCTCCTAGATACCCCTTCCATCTATTCACTTCTCTTTTCCTTCACAAACACTACTCTAGTCTAGACCTAATCTCCCCTGGTCCCTACATTAAAGTCTTGTGCCAGTCTTATCCATTTTCCCACAATGAAGCCAAAGTAGCTTCATAAACAGACAAACAAACAAACCTAATCTGATCTTGAAAAGTTTAAAATCTTTCCATGGTTTCTCATTTCCTTCAGGCTAAAGTTCATGCTGTTATCTTGATAGACAAAGATCTTAATGAAATGACCCATACCTACTTTTCTAGGCTTATCTCTTGCTGAATTTATTCAAATTACATAGAACAATGCATTTCTTATAGTTCTTGGATTTTTTTTTCTCTAAAATCTGACTAATTCCTATTTATTCTCCAGGTCCCAATTTAAAATCACTTTCTCCAGAAAGATTTCCCTTAACCCTCAAACCTACATCAGTTGCTTCATAAAGGCCTACATCATACTTTTATGCTTATTAGGCATTAACTATATGTCTCTCCACCCCCAAGACTGTTAATGTCATGCCTGTCTTTAATTTTATATCCACAATGGGTAACACAGTGCTTGGCACATAGTGAGAGAAAAAGAAATAATAATTAGATGAAACTGAAAAAATAATTTATATGCATTTTCATATTCATGAGGCTATAAAAGAGTGACCTTATATGCAATTCATATGTATTTTGCATTGAAGTTGTAACTGAATTATTATTTTGACATTCCTATATTCTGTTCGTGCTCAGTAAAAATTAACATACAGTTTTGAAGTGTTTATTTAGTCAAAAGACCTGCTGGTTGAGTGCAAAAAGCAGTACTGCCCTTAGAGATCCTGGAAGTGGGCTGTATGTTTTAGAGGGCTTGTTCTGGTCTTGATCTTACAGTTCTCCAATCCATGGGCAAGGAGTTTATGGGGCTGAGGAGTAGGAGCACAAGGATTCTGTATTTCCGCTTGACATAGCACTCTGGTTACCTGGAAGCATGGAATTCCCTGCTTTAATGGCACCAAACTGCTTCTAGAACACGTTTGAGACACCCTTGGCTTGTCCTCCTGAGGATAGTCTATAGAGCCACTGCACACAAAAAGCTTACATGGGGGCTAGGGGGTGACTCTTAAGAAAAACTGATGAAATTTATGCTTTTGGGGATATCCACACACGTGAGTTCAAGGCTTCTTGTGATGAAGGATAGAACCAGAGGTAAGAAAAGAAGGGTGGAGGTATAGATCAGGGCCCCAGAGGCTCGTGTGGCTGTTTCTCCCTGTACCATCATCTTGCAGACCATTGCAAATATTATGTTTGCCAAGGTTGGAGGTTAGAACATAATCAATTTTTCAGATGTTTTAGCAATTCGAAGAATTGATTTATAAGTTTTAAATATTTTGACATATGTTATGTGGTCTCCATTTGTAGTATTATCAGGAGCTCTGCAAATATTAGTGGTGGGTCTAATGCAAAGTGATCAAACTTGTGGGCATGTGTATGAATGCGATTTAGTGTAATCTTTCTCTGATGTGTTAGGAGATCTACAACAAAGATCCTATAGAACTAAACTAATTTCATACCCAAGACTTCACTCACTTGAGTGTAACTACAGACCCTCTTCCAAACTTATTCCATGCCTAAAAATACAGTTAAAGCTCCTGTGGGGTGGATACTATTTTTATAGGTTTAAAATATCAGATATATTTGTATATTTAGCCTTAGTGTTTTTTGTTTTAAGGTGTACTATGAAATTTTTTATCATGTCAAAATAACTTTTTTTAATTAATAGAAAAATAAAGTGTCCCTCTCAAGAAAGAGGAAGAATTACCCTTTTGAAATACATTTTTCTTGAGCTTATCAGATTAGAACTATTGCTCTATTATGTATCTCAAGTGATATCTTCGGCTATGGAAGCCTGGGTTCTTTAAAAAAAATGTAATTGATTAAACTTTCAGATAGCAATGTCTAACACTGAAGCATAATCCTGTAGTTATTCATGTCTTAGTTACACTTACTAAAGACTTATTCCCTTAAAAAAGATTTAATACATATGTATTGATTTAACTTTCTAGAACACATAATAAGATCCTTCCTCTTGCACAAAGCTGCACAGACTTTACCTAATATCTCTAGAGTCAATTCTTCAAATACCTTACCCCATAATTTAGAGACAAAGAAAATGTTAAAATAATAACAAAGTTTCATTTAAACATATGCCTTTGGGTTAAACATATACCTTTAATCTTCATAAAAACCGTCTCTTTTAAATTAACCTAAATAGTACAATCTTTAAGGGGAAGAGATATTGTGAAATGGTAAAGTCCATTTGCAGTCCTCAGATGTAGATGAAACAAGGTAGTTGGGTCTTTGCTTTATCTTTATATTTTTCATACTTTTTCACTCTGTTCAAGCCTTACTTCTGCTCCATCATCACCTCAGTGTAAGAAAATAATTTAGTTCACTGCTTGTCTCCCTTTAACAAATATGGGAGCTTGAGTAATAACTTAGACACAGAGGAATGATTTTCCCTTAGGCATTTCATGACTTACATTTATAATTTTTCACAAAAGTGCATAAGTTTGTGGTCGAAATTTATTAAGTAGCACTTACGTTAACTGAAGCAACAGAAGACAACCCTCTTTGGATTTCTTTTTGATGACAGAACCAACGATTGACTGCCAAGATGATTTATGGCTTTTCATTTAAAATGAAAGGAAAAAAAAAGACAAATACTTTCTATCAATAAACCAAAATCATCCAGCCTTAAGAAATACTTATTATTTTTTTCTCGGAAAGAATAAAAATATCAAATATTCAAACTTGGTATTTTATATTGGAAGTTTTAAGAATAAAGCGTATTTGTAGACAAATTTAGAAATCAATGAATATAGAGTCTCTTACCTTATACAATACAGAAATTTTATTGGATTAAAAGTTAAATATAGAAATAAAACCCCAAAAGATTGAAAAGAAAGAAAAGAGGAATTAATGTTTATTAAACCCTTTGATATCGGAAGGTTTTCTAAGCTTAAAAGTCATGGATGTGGTCAGAAAACAATATTTCAATAAAGCAAGTATATGAAACTTGTAATTTTACATATCAGAAAAAAAGAACCCAAATTTCAAGTTAATAAAACACATTTGAGCTACATGCCATTTGTGCTTTAAAAATTTATTTTTCAAATATTATCTCCTGCTCTGTTTCCTGCCTTTGCAGTCATTTAATAGCATTTTCCAATGAACAGAAATCCTCAATTTAGATTAAGTCAGTCTATCAATCCCTTTCTGTTAGTGGCTTTTATACACACTTAAGACATTTTTGCTTACAATAAAGTCATGAAGATGTTTTCTTATGTTATTTTCTAGAAGATTTATTTGGGTTTACAATCCACGTGGATTTGATTTTTGAGTATGGCGGGAGGTAGAGATCAAAATCCATTTATTTTTCTCAAGATATTTAAATAACTAGATGTTTTCTTATGTTATTTTCTAGAAGATTTATTTGGGTTTACAATCCACGTGGATTTGACTTTTGAGTATGGCGGGAGGTAGAGATCAAAATCCATTTATTTTTCTCAAGATATTTAAATAACTCATTATACTATTCTCTCTACTTTTGTTGGTCTTTAGATATTTCACACTAGAATGTTTAAAATATGCGATAAGCCAAAAAATTCTATGTGGGTTAGAGGAAAGGAAAATAAAATTGAATGTGGAAAGAAATAGATACATTTATTCAGTGTTGTCTGTAATATTCCCACCCAACCCCCAAGCATTCAATCTGTTTACCAGATTCTACTGGTTCATATTTCCATGTCTGTTGGATTCGTTCCATCCTTTTTCATTTCAGCACTCAATTATTGTTTTCTAGTTGGTCTTACTTTGCCTTTAACTCCTCCCCTCTACTATCAATTTATGATTCACTGCTGTTCAATCTTCTTAATATGATAATTTGGCTCATAAAATAGTAAATAAAATAACAAAACAATAACTATTTATAGCTACTGAACCGTAATACCTAAACACTTAAATTTCCCACTCAGGACCCTTATTATGATTTCAATCTATCTAATGAGAACTATTTGCCAATATAATCTTGGTTCTGTAGCTGGAATAAGCATGTTCCTGTTGTTACTATTTTCCATCCTTAAATAACTTCTTACAAATTTGGAAGACCCATCCTACATGCAAGCAACAGTCCACTTGGTCTAGTTTGAGTCAGGTGCCAGTGT